CCCAGACACGCCCTTAATTAACCAAAAAAAATTAAATCTTTATTAATAACAAATTAATTATTAAACAAAAATATTAAATATAAACTAAGCAAACGTGCATTGCACGTTGCTTGCACCTAGTTATTTGAAAATGTGTGTACTCCTAGCAAGATCCAAAGGTGAAGATCTTATGGGCTAATTACTCACTCTTATAAATTTGTTATTTCATTTCACAGCCTGTCACCCTACTCTCTAACACGCACGTAAACGAACTCGTCCACGTAGGCACACATTTTCCCGCTCTTGGAAGTTCTTCCGTTTATATGCGTATCTACTGGACCACATCTGGAATCTTTCACGCCTTTTCGATTCCGAATATACGAAAATATATACGCAACTTCTTCTCTAATTCTCGAAAATTTCTTCGCCAAATTTGAAAAACGAAATTGGAGGGAATTCTTGCACCAGGTAGTTACGGGTTCTGTTTGATGATTAACGAAGCGTTTAAAGTTTCGAATATTATCACTGACTTTTATGATTTCATTAGTTGATAGATATGGATATGCATTTCAATGGTGACTTAGCGAGCCTTGACGCCGAACTGTTGCAACTTCCGGAGCAGGAGGTATCTCCTCTGACCAGCCAAGCCATTCGTGATTTCGCCGAGAAGCTCTTCGATCAGTGGCTTTCGCTTCCTGAAACAAGTAATCAGGTAAAATTGTTGTTACTTCCCCCCTCCCCCTCAATTTCAGTCTCTCTTCTTAATGAGATGGACGCATTTAGTGTATATAGGTTGTTTATTTAATTAATCGGAGTTTCATTTCGGGGAGTTTTTTTTGCCTATAGAACGGATTGGCTTGTCAATTAGGTTGATTTACAATGTGAGCTAATAACACGTTAAAAAGATAAATAATATTTGGCATGCAATGTTGTCTTGGCAGAGTGGCGAAAGCAGGGGAAATTACAAAAAATGAGAAGCAGTCTTGGGGATTTCATAGTGTAAATCGTGGTTTTTGTTTGAAGGGCACAAACTTGTTTAATTTTGGAAGCGAAGGAACAATACCTAAATTATAGCTTGGTGTCCATTATATTCAAAATAGAGATAACAGGTAAAATTAAAAAAAAAAAAAAAAAAACTTCACCTAGATTTAGCCCATGCAATTGTACGGTAAACTCCTACATAGTTTGCAAGAAAGACCAGCTAACCTATGTTTCGTCGCAATCTATTCCGCATACTTTACAACTATCTGTGAATTGCAGGTAAAATATTTGCTCTATAAAGCAAAGAGAGGTCGTTCTTTGCATGTCTCTGGAGCAGCAGACCTACCTGCTTTAGGCTCTCCCAAGAAATTAGTGAAAGACCCTGGGAAAGAGCTTATACCGCAGGTCGGAGTAGTCAATATTTTGATATTGTAGTGGGAATTTTTACAGGTTTTTCTCTCTTCGTGTGCTGCTTTTGCTAAAACTCCAATTTTAAATATTGACATTATGTTGATACTTGTGATGAAAATGCAGTTCTATTTTCAAAATGGCCGTCCACCCTCTCAAGAATTGCTAGACGAGTGCTTGTCTGGAATTAAACAGTTTTTTCCTGCTGAAAGTAACGGACTCCAAATCCAGGGTGAGACCTTGCTAGTTGCTACATACTTTTTTGCACATCTGCACCGTGCATAAACACTTTAAGGATCTCATTGCTATTCGTTTTGTTAGCTATTCATACATCTGAAACTTACAATATAAGATGTCAAAAGAAAATATGTACCATTGTCTTTGTGCTATTTACATTTGCATGGATGTCAGAATTTAAACGAGCTACGAAAGAAATTTGCAAGCTCCCATCATTCTTCTCCACTGCACTTTTTACAAAGATTGACGTCAACTGCACAGGCATTGTGACCAGGTTGGTGTTTTGTTACTCATTATTTAATGTCCTAAGTATCCTTTGCTTTGCTTTTTGTCAAGATTCACTCCATGCTGATTTTAATCTTCCTTTCTTGTATGTACCCGAGAGAGAAAATTGACTCGCACAGCTCAATTCTCAAAAAATTACTTATAAGTTCAATCACACTTACCCTACTTAGACTCCTTTTGACAAATTTATATATCATTTATAAAGAGGAACAATAGTGGATCCCACAAAACGTGTGGATAATAGATGAGCAGTAATTATTAATTTATGGTTGAAAATGTTTACCTGAATTTATATACCCTTTATAAATTGGTTGCCAAATGGAAGCTTAACTTTGCAACTACTTTTGTTTTGAATGAGAAAGCCAATTGCATAGGATTGTAAACTTTTAGGTTTCTATATCCTCTGTCGCGTGCACACAAATTACAGATAGTTACGGGAATAAGGCAGTTCTGTCAAGTGCATGTTCAATCACATTTACCTCTCTAACTTCTCAAATACCTTGAATTAGGAAATAATTTGTATGTGCAAAAGCAATTATTCGAATTTGATTGATTTAGAATTCGGCATGCGCAATAACTAGTAGTGAAAAAAGGAGAGAGAGGCATTGCCAACATTATTGGACTTATGTTTGCTATAAGTTGACCTTATTTTTGTTTGTCTGTTTTATTATATATAGTCAAAACATACTCTTCCATTTTATTGGTCAAATTCTATGGAACTGTATATATAAATTTGTTTATAGTAAAAAATTGTGCATACTTATTTTGTATTGAAGAAGCAAATTGTGCATAGGATTTTTATGTGTTAATTCTGTAGAAATTGGTAAAGATCAGTTGGTTTTGGCCAACTTTAACCAATTATTTAAGTGAGACTTGTCAGTTGAATATTAGAATTCTAGGTCGAACATGTTCTACTTCGCAAATTAATTATTGTGGTATATTTAGTTAATTAAAGTCAATATTGAGTGAATGAAAAATTACAGTCAAAAGTTACCGGTTAGAAATATAGAAATTGTTGGAAATTTAATTTATAATAGGTTGATTGAAAAGTCATGATTTTTCCAAAAATGAATGTCTTTCTGGACTTATCCTTTTCGATCAGCCACGTCTTCCGACATATACATATTCCAACAGCCATGTTTCTTCCGATTTTTCATTAATTATAGATATGCACTTCCATTTCCAGAGTCATTCATTCCAATTTGTTCACTTTCGTTTCAAGTAAACCATCCATGCACGTTCCGCATACATCATTGCGAAGTCCAGGAAAATGCTACATTTCTTGTTTTAGTCTAGTTTGATAAAAGAGTCCAAAAACACTGTTGGTTCTTTATTCCCATAATCTGGAGTGTTAGCTTTTGTTTGGTTTTCCTTTTTAGTTGCTTATAATTTATTTTTCAAAATCAAACATTAATTTTAATCACAAATCTCGTAGCATTTGCCGCTAATACGCACTTATCCATCACTTATTTATACCAACTTATTATTTTAGCAACTAAAAAGGAAACCAAATAAAGTATTTATGCAAATTTAAAGTATAAAAGTAGTGAATAATAATCGATAGAAAGGGATGTTTTTGTTAACTGTGAGAATTTTTTCAGATACTACTGATCTTCAATCACTTTATGAAGTCTTCTAAGCCTTTCTTTGAGGGGCTTTCAATCTTCTAGCTTCAGTCTCCGTTGAATGAGATATGTTTCTTGAATATCGGATCAACTGCAGCTCATTTATTATTGCAAAACTAAACTTCTGGTACTAATATTACTATTAGATTATGTTAAACCTAATAGGTAACTACTATTTTAGTAGACGACTAAGCTGAGGAGCTAAACACCAGCATTTACTGCGTCAGTCAAAGTTTGTGGTAGTTGGCCTGTACATTTATCCTGGATTAATTAATGCTTTTTGCCAATCTTGCTTAGAGTTGATGCATCCCCTCTTAGGCTCTTACTTTGTCTTCTGATGCGCAAATAGAGATACATTTGTTGACTATTGGATTATCGGCAACATGTTGACGAAAGATATAGCAGCCCAGATATACACAATCTTGAAGCAGCCCAATCTCAAATACTTGACTCAGGTTATACGAGTATCCATAATGATTGTTTATAGAAAATTAACTTCACTGCATCATTGATACTAGTCAACTTGATAGTAGGATGACTTTAAACCTGTGCTCAGAGAACTTTTGGCAACTCATCCAGGGTTGCAGTTCTTACAGAGTACACCTCAATTTCAAGACAAGTATGGTAAGTTCTAAATCATTTGCTAAACTTTTTCTGGCGACTTTCATCAGTTTGGTTTGAATTGCATAGCTAAAGGTTTTCATGAATTTTCCTGATGCTTATTACAATTGCGATAATATAATTCTGTTGCTAGTCAACGTTAATCTCTACTGCCAGTCTGCCACAATCGCCAATACTGCCCCTGCGCTACTGGTTTTCTTATCATGGGACCTGTGCATTATTAGTGTGTATGGTTAACAAATATACCATTAATGTTCCTTGTTTCTGTTTCTCGTCATTGTGTTGCATGCTGTTAGTTGGAAAGCAAGATTACAATCACAGATTTTTGGCTGGATTTTCAGTATCTAGTCCAATGGCAATGGTTATGGTTGCTTTCATACTTTCTAGTGTGATCGTTGTTTCTTGCAATAAGTCAAGAGGTCAGTGTCAAGTTGGTTGTTCGCTTGTATGCACATTTTGCTGACTTTATGTGGACTATTCTTTTCAAGTTAGAGGTGTTTACCTATAATAGAAGCCACATTCCATGATTAAATATTAACAGTTCACTTTACTGCAATGACCAGCTGAAACTGTAACATACAGAATATTTTACGACGTCAACCGCTCGAATAATAACCGTATTACCCTCAGAGAGCTGAAGCGTTCAAACTTAATTGCTGCAATGAAACATGTGGATGAACAACTAAATGTCAACACAGTATTACGGTAAAACAAAGCTGCGTAGTTGGTTTTACATTTGAGATAATGTTGTTGGGTATTTTTTTATTTTTTATCTTTTAAATGCTAATGATTATATCATTACTTGGTAAAGTTTCTAAGGTAGGACCAGGTTATACAAGAGATTCTGATTTCTGCTGTCTTTTGAGTCTCTGTGATTTTGCAAGTTGGAATTTCTGGAAAAGAAAACAAAATTGTTTTTTTACTGTGCTTACCAATAGAAACAATTTTCTAGCTTAGTCAAGATCAGATATGTTATCAGAGTAACAGTGTTTAACTCCATACACTACTCATACAATAATTATCTAGCTGATATGTTGTCAGAATACAATATTTAGCTACGCATTGACTCCTTATCTTAAAAAAATAGTGTTCATATAACTGTACAAATTTTTGTTTAGCATTTTTATCAATATTGTGTCTGAGATGACACCCTGCCCTCATCTCTATTAGCTTTAATTTCCATTTTATGCAGATACTTCTCTTATGAGCACTTTTACGTGATCTTCAACACGTTTGTGGAGCTGGATCCTGACGTTAATTTTCTGATCAATAAAGAGAACCTCATTAAGTATGGTGGCTTTGCACTTACCAACAGGATTGTAGATAGAATATTTTCTCAGGTTTGTCTTCTCTGTTTTATGGTACGCCTGCTTTGTTGAAGTATATAATGATTGCTTCCTCATCTCTTTAAGTAGTTTATGTTATGAATTTGTCAAGGTTCCAAGAAAGTTCACCAGTAAGGTTGAAGGAAAGATGGGTTATGAAGATTTTGCGTACTTTATATTGTCAGAAGAGGATAAATCATCTGAAACTAGCCTTGAGTATTGGTATGTCTACCCCCATTGCTTTCAGAGGATAAATCATCTGAAATATATGAATAGCTTTAATGCAGAGATGTTGAACTGTTGTTGCCAATGGGATTCTTGTAATTTAGGCTCGAGGAAGTTTTAAAGTCAGTTAGGAGCTATATTTTGATAGAATTGGGATTCCAGTCTGCACCCTTGAAATTACAAGTAATTTTAAGAAAACAAAATTGGCTATTAACTTTTTTCCCTTGACGTCTTAAGGGAAATAAGGACAAGGTGTCAAATGAGACATCCTTTATAATTATATATCTGTATTTTCCTCAAGATCGGCCTCGTGGATAACCGGCCTATGGATTGTCCCTCGAAGGTTCAAAATAACCACGGATTACGTGACAGTTGAGGCAACTTATAATCCAAATCCGATAATTTTCTTTTGGATTCAGTAGCCTAGGGTTTTGCTATCAAATTGCAAACAATACCATTTTGAATTTCAATGCTTCCAAAACAAGTGAAAGCCTGTTTAATTAAGCTTTCAATTCTGCAATCCTTCAAATTCAATGGTTCGAAAGACAAAGGGTAAGATTTTCAGTTGGTTTCTGCTGCGTCCATGCGAAGAAGACCTTGTATATTTTTAGGGTATACATGATGTTGACTGTTTGTCTTTATATTTTATTAATATGTCATGCATGTTGTGAACTGGAATTAACTGAAGATCGATTAACTGACTTTTGAGTTCATCATAGGCACTTTAATTCATTTTCATAGTATATTGTGTTCTGTTTCTGCATGCATTTGACTCTCAATATGTTTATCAGGTTCAAGTGCATAGATTTGGACGCAAATGGAGTTATAACAAGGAATGAAATGCAATACTTTTACGAGGATCAGAAGCAAAGAATGGAACACCTGGGCCGAGTGCCTGTGCCGTTTGAAAAAATTTTATGTCAGATAGTTGACATGATTAATCCACAGGTAAACATCTATCAGATTGTATTTCTTAATTTTTTTGCTAAATTTTGAGTTCACTTCCTTTTTTTCTTCCTTTTCCGAAACAGATTTTGCCACTGTTGTCTCTCATAATTCTTTTCTGATCGTACTTTTTTAATTCGAACGTCGAGTATTAGAACTACTAGCCCAATCAACTTCATTATATGTCACCACATGAATAGGACAGACCATTGGGAAGAAAAGGCGATGGGCGGGGTAGTGCATTGCAAATTGCGAACAATACGTCAGACAACCGCCAGATGAAGATGCCCAAGCATCTGCATAAACTGACTAATTTGTTGAATAATAAAAGAAATATCAAATCGAGTAATAGTCAAATAGTTCAGGCTCCCAACCATCTATACAAAGAGGGATTAGAGAGAAAATGACCCTCATCCCGATGATACTTAACATTCACTTCCAAGGGGATATCGACAGAACGAACATCTTGAAGTCTAGCCAAAGTATTAACCCTTGAGTGTACTTATGTTGGTATAAGAAAGTACCAGTAGAGATAGAATGCACCTCAAGACCTAAGAAATATTGTAAAGGACCCAAGTCTTTAATATGAAAAGAACCCCGAAGGTGTTCCTGAAGCTCAAAAATCAATCTAAAGTCGATATTGTAATAACAATATCATCAACATACACTAAAAGCAAGGAGATTCCGCTACCAGTCTTGCAAAGAAATAAAGAGGAATTGTATTGACTCTGGACAAAGGAGAAGCTAATTAAGGAACACAGAGCGAAACTTATTAAACTAGGCATGTGGAGCATGTTTCAAACCGTAGAGGGATTGTTTTAGCGTACAAACATCTAAAGAGTGCATAGAAAGCAATCCAAATGGTGGGGTCATATAAATCTCCTCCTTAAGATCTCTTTGCAAAAAGGTGTTCTTAACATCCATCCGTCTCAAAGACCAGCCCTTGAAAGCTGCAATAGCTAGAACAAGCCGTACATCGTCATCTTTGCTACAAGAACAAACGTCTTTTCATAGTTTGCCCCATACTCTTGTCGATAATCGAGGGCCACAATATCCTAGGTATGATTCTCTTGAAGAACCCGAAGTTCTTTTTGCATAGCTTTATCCCAACATGTCGTTTAGCCACCTGAGAATAAGAGGAAGAAATTGTAGCAGCAGATAAAGTAGCGAGAAACCATACATATCGAGAGGATGAATAGTGCGGGAGAATCTCCAATAAGGCACTGATACAAGTACTATATCAGAGTTGGGAAGGAATTATGATGATGGGGTCGTCATTGCTGATAGGCAACAATTGGTTTAAAACGCTCAATTAGTGGAGATATGTCGTCAAATCTAGAAAGGAGGGCATCGTCGAAAGGGACATGTAGTTGAGAGTAGAAATTGTGTTCAAAGAAAATCACATTTCTAGAAATATGCACACGATCAGCAACAACATATTTTCAAAGTTCTAAAATGCGTAATGTGTGGCAATGCATTTCAATCAAGTATCAAGCATTACAAGCACATACGTGCCTATGCGAAGTATTAGAGGTGTCAAGACGGATGGACCGGCTAGACCAGTGAAAATCGGCTCGAATCGACCCGGGACCACGGGCCGACCCGTGATCCAAGCGGGCGGTTTACGGATCAAGGAGGCGTGACCCGCGGGTTTCGTGGGTTGCACCTTCACGGGCCGCGGTTAACCCATTGGCCCGTGAATTTTTTTTATTTTTTTAATTTGAANGCCAACCTAGTTGATATGTACTTATACTATAAATATTTGATAATAATAATTAAAAATGCATTTAGTTGTTATTTGTTTAAATTAAATTTAACTTTGCAAAGTTATAAATAATTCGTGTAATATTAAATTTGAATTCTATGTGAACATTTTTTGGTATAAAGATGAATTTATCATTTTGTTCAATTCTTAGTTTACATTTAGTAAAAAAAATATTTTTCGCTATAAATATGAAAAATTCTATATTTTTATAATTTTATTTATATAATAATATGGGCCAAATCGGAACAAACCATGACTCGTGACCTGCATGGGCTTGACCCGCATAGGTCAGCGGGTGGGCCTGGGTTGTAGTCTAAAATTTGTGGGTCGATTCGGAACCCGTAGCGACGGGTTTTTTTTTCAAGTGGGCCATTACCGGGTTCATATGTTGGCTGGCCGACCCGGCCTGGACCACTCGAATTGATACCTCTACGAAGCATATGCGTAATTATGTGTTTGTCAATTTTTAATATTTTAAACTATTAAATAAATAAAATAACGCATTCTTTGAACTTTATACATATTTTTTAACTTTTCAAAAATTTGAGCAATATATATATTTTTCAAATTTTCAACAAAAACATATTGCTCAAAATCATAAATACTACAATTACTTGGTAATTAATTCCTACAATTAGATTAGACACGAACACCGATTTTAAAAAAAATCCAAAATGTTTTCCAACTCTTTGTAGGATTCTAATTCAATCTCAACTTCTTCATCAAAGTCATCTTTTGTGTCATCCAATTCAAAATCATATTCATCGAACTCTCTTATTTCAATTCAAGAATTTTTGTTACCTCTTGTAGATGATAATATATTTTGTTAACCTCCTACTCATCATCACAACCATCAACAATCCAATATTGTGCATTACTAGCATCATCTGCTAGTAAAACTAAAGGAAGACTGAATAATAAGTAGGCTTGGGCTAAACATAGAGAGTTTGCAACTCTATGAATAGTTTGTTTTTAATTTTTATTTTTCTAAACGTAAAAACCCTACAGATTGTTATGTATTATATTTTATAGCTTGGATGATTTGGACTAATTTGATTTGTTAAAGTTATAAAACTTGATTGAGCTTTGATAGACTAATTTTGACACAATTTTTATCAAAAATCTTGCACATTTTGGCGTTTAAGCGTGCATATGCGGTCAATGAAATGATTTGACCACATTATCACGCACATATCCCATATGCGAGACATTTTTTAAGCTCATCGAGAATATGCGAAGCACATGCGTACATTTTAGAACGCTGATCATAATACAAGAATCCATTCTGAAAAAAGGTTATAGCCCATGAAAGTATACCGAACTGAGCAAGTGAACAAAACGAACACATCCAAATGTGTTTAGTTTATAATAATCAGGACGCATACCATAAAGACTATAGTAAGAAGAATCAAAATTCAATTGTTGAGATGGTAGAAGATTAATCAGATAGACTGCTTCCACCCAATTTTAGAAGAAACTGAAGACTCTAATATTAACATTTGAACCTTATCCAACAAGTGATAGTTTTTACGTTTAGCCAACCTATTCCGTTGAGGGGTAAAGGGACATGATCGTTGAGATACAATATATTTCTGCAGCCAAAATGCTTGAAAATCATGTGACGTATATTCTTCACCATTATCAGACCGTAAATCTTTAATATAGGTAGAAAATTGTATCTCAATGTAAGCCACAAAAGTCTGAAAAACAATGAATACCTTCAACTTTGGAGCACAAGAAGTATATCCAAGTAAAAGAACTATAGTCATCAATGAATGTTTCAAAATATTTATAATGGCCAAGGAAAATAACAGGAGTAATACCCCAATCATCACTGTGTATAATCTCAAAACATGTATTAGTGGGAACACCACAAATAGGGAAATGTAGAGTCTTAAATTTCACTGGTTTACAAGTGGTGTAATCAAAAGACAATTTATGGGTAGAGCATTGTTCTTTATTACCAAGAAAACCATGCTTCATCAAACTAGACAAAATCATATTATTCGGATGACCTAATTGTTTATGCCAAAAGTCAACCTGTTTTGCAACAGTAATAGAAGCCAAAGACGAAGTTCGAGGAACATTAAATTTCAAAGGAATTCCCACTTTAGACTTCATCACTATCACTTACCCTGACACCTAATTATGCACAAGACAATCACCACGAAAGAAATGCACATTTCAGCTATTATCCACCAACTGACCAATTAAAACTACTAGACAGCCCAGGAGAGAAACACGTGAATAAAAGAAGGTCTAATATCACTGATGGTTGTATTGGAAGATTATTTTCATTATCAATCTAAATGTTTTGTGTACAAGTATACTTCTGTAGATTATTTAACGAATCGAAGAGCTACATATGATTGGATGTCTTAGAATCAACAAACTAAGAGGGAAAAACAGTCTTACCTTGTCCCTGAAGTCCAACGGCAAAAAATGTTGAGATAATCATCTGTTAGACCATTTCTGGAATAAGGACATTGACTGGTTCTAGTGGTTGTAGATGGAGGACACACAATGTTAGGGCTAGAAACAGCAGCTTGAAAGGCTTAGACTCATCGGTTTTCTAGATGTGTAGAACATTCCTTTATAATGTGACTATTCTGCTTATAGTGATTGCTAAATTTCTTACCACAATTATGGACAATATCCCTGAAGTCCTTGCAATTTTAGCACTGCATCTATCCCTTTGCTAGGTTCCTTCCTTGAGCAGCTTATGCAACATTGACCACCTCAGATGTCTTCCTGACCCTACCTATAACATCTTCTGTAACTATTCTCTATTCCTCACGCAACAACTCACCAAGACATATCAAAAGAAGGAACTTGATCTCTATTTAACAATTCAACCTGAGCAACTTCAAATTCAAGACTCAGATTCATCATAAATTGATCTCGTCTACTAACATCATGAATCGCCTATTAGGTGATTAAGGCCTGTTTAGGTACATTAGTATATATAATACATAAATATTTGCTACACAGATCAATGGTGAGATTACCTTAACTATAGTTGCCAAACTCAAGCTCCAGTTGAAATTGTCTTGCAGTATTATCTTGATGGTATATGTGCTTCAGGTACTCCCACAGTTCCTTAACTACGCCAAGGAGCTTCAATTATTCACCATATGAGCTTTAATAGATCATAGAATCCTAGAGATGATCTGAACATCTTTTACCTCCTATTGGTTGAGTTCGTAACCTTCTTCAGGGACAAAAGAAGACTCGTCAATATGGCTCTAAAGCTCCTTCCTTTTCAGAAACATTTTAAGTTGAAATTCCTATGTCGCATAATTCTTTCCCGTAAATTTGAGGGTTAATTGCCTCAATAGTCACTTAACTTTACCGAAAGTTTCCACCAAATTCATCACTGAACTTTGCAAAAGATTTCTCAGATGGTCACTGAACTTTGCAAAAAGTTTCCCAGGTGATCATCTAGGAAATTTTTTGCGAAGTTCAGTGATTCCATAGAAATCTTTTGCAAAGTTCAGTGATGAATTGGGTGGTTTTTAAAGTTCAGTGATGGATGTGGTTGCAGTTTCGAAAGCTCAGTGACTAACCATGTAGTTTTTAAAGTTCAGTGACCTGGTGAAAACTTCCGATAAAGTTTAGTGACTATTGGGGTAATTAACCCTAAATTTGATATACAAGATCTCGTAGACATTCTTCCAGAAAAAACACCAAATGTAGAAATCTCGCAACAAAAGAAAACAATCAAATTGTAATCAAGAGCCTAAACCACAATAGAAGAAGCCCAATCCAGAAGCCTCACAAACCGTAGCAAAAAGCCCAATCCACAACCAAGAAAAAGAAAGGCCCAAATCTCTATATCATCAGATCACCCACAAGGGCCCAAACGTCTACACCAGTCACCAAGAGATAGGGCTGTAAATGGTCCGATTCGGTTATGAATCGAACCGAATCAAATCGGAATTTTCGAGTATTTAGTAAGTGGAATCGTCGGGTTCAAATTTAATTATAGAACCGTTCGGATTCTATTTGGCTCGGTTATGTTCTATTCGGTTCCCGAATTCCGTACAATAATTAATTTTTTAAATATTTATAACAACGTTACATTAATTCGATTATGACATGTTCAATCTTAACGCTTACAAAATAATGTAGTCCCATCTGATGATACTTTTTGCACATTTCTTTGTTGAGTTCTTCATAGACTTGATTGTTAAAATCACAAAAAGAGGAATATAGCGATTTCGCAATAATAGAACGGCAAAAATGACACCACAGTAGAATAAAATATTTGGGTAAATTTTAGATCAATTTGATTAAGTTGAGTTTGACTGAAAATTGAAATTAATAAAATCATATTTTAGGTTTGACCTAAATTAATTAGTTAACAAATTTATTTAGAAAAAATAAAATAATTTAACTTATTTAAGATTAAAAAAAAAAGGGATATTCAGTTATTCGGTTCTAGGCCTAGAATCGAGAATCGAACTGGTTCTTGATTTAAATACTCGTTGGAGTATTTAATTTTGGAAGAACTGCTCGATTCGATCTAATTCGATTCGCAGTTTTGTTCGGACAAAAATCGCATCTCTTCCTAGGCTCGACGCGAAGCCGTCGACCAAAAATTCAATGCAAAGCCGTCAACCAGAAGAACAATCGATTAAGCCGTAGGCTGAGACAGAATCTGAACGCGAAGCCGTCAACCAGAAATTGGTCGACCTAGAATCTCAAACAAAAGTCGTCGACCAAAAATTGATCAACCCAAAATCAAAAAGGTGAAAACAAACTAAGAACCTCCAACTACACGAAGGGCAGAAGCAAAACCGAAAGAAAATTGAAAATTCAGCCATGAATTCGAAAGGTAGGTTCTGATATCATGTCAATATCTGGATGAATGGCAAAATGACCTTTTCATGAGGAATATTTCCAGTAAGAGCCTGTTTGGTGCACATTAAAATGAAAGAATGCATTTTTTTGAAGTGATGTGATGGGGAATATGTGATTGAAAAAGAAGGAAAAGTTATTGATGTGATGTAAAATATTATTTTATTGAAAAATTTGTGGTTGAAAATGAGTAGAAGAATGAAAAAAATAATGTGGATCAAACAGGGGCTAAATATGTGATTGAAAAATAAAGAAAAGTTATTGATGTGATGAAAAATATTATTTTATTGAAAAATGTGTGATTGAAAATGAGTAGAAAAATGATAATGAAAAAAATAATGTAGGTCAAACAGGGGCTAAATAAGAATTTCAGTACAAATCATTTGCTAGTTTCTAGCAATTAAACTATTGTATTAATCTATCTTAGGTAAGAATAATTATACTGTATAACTAATTACATATATACACTACATATGGTAATATACTCTTTCATAATCTCTGCCATTGATATTAGTGGAGAAAAAAAATGTACATCTCCCTAACTACTATGGCTGGAGAAGCTGCTTCTTTATCACTTTTGGTTTTGATAAGATGTCTGTGTTAAAGTCTTAGATTTGAGTGGTGCTTCCACATTAACACCCATGAACAGTGATGCACGGTAAATGACTTACCTCTGCAGTGGGCATTTTCTTGTTATAACATTTTCTGACATTAAAATTATTTCATATGTAGGATAAGGGCTACTTTACTTTACGCGACATAAAGGGCAGCAAACTCTCTGGGAGTGTTTTCAATATCCTTTTTAACACCAAAAAGTTCTTGGATTTTGAAAAACGGCATAATTCAGTTCTAATTAGTCAGGTATTAGGTGCAAGTTTATTTATTTAGTTAATGTTTAACGATGCTATGATTTTGGATATGCATAGAAAGGTTCCTCAGACTTACTATCTTTTTTCTCTTTCTTTATCTCCACAAAGGCACGTGAGAATCCAAATTGGACCGAGTGGGACCACTTTGCACACAGAGAATATATTTTGCTTTCCACGGACAATGTCTCTAGTGGAAGTATTTACTGGGATGGATCTGATGATGACTGGGATGCAGAGCTTGACGATGACCCTCCCTTGTGAGACCTGATTGGTGAGGTATTTGTTGATATTATCAGTTACTTCCTTTCCAGTCATTCAGATTTCATTTAACTGACCAATTGTTTGATTTAGATTAATGCTTCAACGCACCTTTACTGTGATTGACAATGCTCATGTGGTAAAAATAATTGAATTTTATGTGTCTCCGAGTGGAAATCTTATTAAATTAAAAAAAAAAGAGGAAATAGTAAATAAATGCAGTTTTAATTTTCTCTACCACAAGTCTTGACTACTAAGAACTGATGCTGCATTAGACAGCGGAGAGTAAATAATGATCTCTGTTTCAGTGTTTCTTGAACTAAGTAATTTTGGTTCTTTATTTAAAAGGGAAGGTCATCTACTTTACTACACTTCAAAAGGGTTCACTTTAGTGCATTGTATCATGGCCGAATGCTTAATTTAGCTCGAAGATTCTTAAAGTTTTGGTTTTACTTTAGCTCCAAGGATGCCTATAGAGATGCAGAAAATCTCAGTAGTGCAGCTGATCAACAGAAAAGAAGTTCCGGTTGCACTTTAGCTACCTTTCAGTAGTAATCTTTTGTACATTGCATCTAAAATTCAGTTGACATTTTTTTTTTCCAATAGCCAGTATTTTATTCATTTATCACAAACAATCTGTGGAAAACAAGTATATAGCGAATCAGTATAGAAAGTCCACCCAAGAATCCATAAATTTTGGAACAGAGTAGGAGCTCCAAGAATATCATAAAGAAAGGTAAAGAGAAGTGCAGACATCAAAACCATTGATTTCTCTCCCTCTGCAGGGCCATGTTATGCAATGAGTTGCCACTTTCCAGTTCTTCCTACTACAACTTGCCTCCCTCGTCGTCACAGAATAAAAGACACTTGTTTAGGAGAAAGGCCATTCCACATTGCCTTCCAACGAAAAGATTTCCTCTTATTGTTCACCAAACGAAAGTAGAAAGATATACCAATATTTTGCATCTTTGCAACATGTGATATCCTCCCTCAGCACTCAAACGTTCAAACTGTGCTCTTTGCAAATAATAACTGGCTTCTTTCCAAAATATACTAATATTTTGCATCTTCCTTCCAAGTGCAACTCCATCGCAACGTCATCCCCATCTGAAAGCAACATTACATCGGCCCTGATTTTGCTTCTATTTGCTGCAATTTAAAAAAAAAAAAAAGAGGAAATTTATCCTTTAGCACAACCACCCCACCCCACCCCACCCCACATATCGAAGGAAAATCTCACTCTGTTCATTGTCAGCAAGGAAACCAAGGAATTTCGAGAAATTACTTCAAGCACCTTTTCTCAACCAAGCCCTACTAGATGGGATCGGATCCCTCATTCCAAAACTTCCCACTTCAATGGGACCTTTCATAAGTTTTCACCAAATGTTATTTCCTCTCATCCTCTTTGCCTTTAGAAAGAAGATCTCTTTGAAATTTTTTAATCTCTCTGCAACTGTAATAGGAGTTGTGAACAAAGGCATCAAATATATTGAGAGGCTAGATAATGTATTTCTCAACAAAACCTTGCGGCAGAAATTTTCCTTTTTCCTAAGCATATGACAATAGGAGTCAACACTTCTCTAGGCTTAAATTGAGAATCCAATGTGAAGATTATTTGATGATGATAACAGAAATTATGAGTAGAGAGTTTTCAACCATAAATTAAAAAATCTTAATGAATGGTCATAAAATTAGTCTTAGCCCTTCTTGTTTGATACTCATTCTTCTAAAATACATTTTTCTCTCTTTCATTTTCAACCACACTTTTTTCAGTAAAATAATATTACACATGAATCCAAAACTTTTCCTTCTTTTTTAAGCACATATTTTTCATGACATCACAATTTAAAATGCATTATTGGGAGAATAATGTGCATCAAAAAGGGCCTTAGGAAGAAATATGGTTACGTGGTTTCTTCTCGAGTCCATCCAATTCTAAGTGGTTTCTTCAATTTATAAGAACCATTAACATTTTCACTCGACTGTCCAAACGAAGGGGGTACTATCCTTACATGCCTGTCTCATGTGTGCTTTTCCTCTCAATGATGAGATGACTGTTTCATCTTCTACTAAGATGCAGTTGCTAATGCCAATATGAGAAAGTAAATGGGGTTTTTTATGGTTCTAGTTTACTCATGAATATTTTGTTCTCTGTGCTCTTGAATATTTATCCTCATTAGTTTCCACGATTTTTTATATTCAGGTGTCTAAGAAGAATTCTTTGTATCAAGCTGTATGTACTATCATTGTGGGAAAAGCTCTCCAATGGAATTCAGCAGTCTGCATTTTGTCCTCAAAATTATATGTTTGAAGAGTGAATATTTGAGCTTTCCCGTTCTAAAGAACTGTTCAGGTCATAGGAATTTAGAGTAGGATATTAAAGGCTCGGAAAGAACGGGCCAACAGTTAACTGGTGACTGGTTAACAGTTCTTGTTGATAGCATGTATTGAACTCATAAGTCACTAGATACTTTTTGTGAATCTCAATTGAATAAATTTGCTCCTGATTGTTAAATCGTTTGATGACTAGTCTCATACTCTACTCAAGTCACTTATTGTACACATGTTTCAAGGGTTCCATAATTAGTACACATTATCGACCATTCATTTATATTTATTTAAAATTCAAACTGTTTCTAAACACTTCCCAAACATGCTTTGTATTAATTTGATCCCATAAATGGGACCAAGTATTTTGCACTACAAACATAATCTCATAGTTTTTACTAGAGAATCTCTTAGCCCCTATTTGTCTACCATTCTCCATTTTTTTAAAAACTTATTTTGAACCACATATTTTCGCACTGAAATATTTTGCACGTAAAGAAAAAAAAATTACTATTTTTTAACCACTAATTTTTCAAAAAATCACTATTCTAAAATTCATTTTCTTCAAAAAAAAAAAATTAAATAAATCTCTTTTTAATATGCATCAAACAAGGACTTAATTGTTCTATAACATTGAGAAATATATTTTCCCACCAGAAAGAACTTTTAGACATAGCATAATTATTTTAGAAGTTTTAACCAACCTACTTCGTAGAATCATTAACGTTAAACTTTCCCTTGATTGCTTGTTGCCTTTGTTAACTTCTATAAGATCATAACTCTTAGTTATCTAATCAGTGTGAAGAGTGTCATAATGCAGTTTCTGTCATTGTTCATTTTCTTTTTACATTTTTTTTTTGGCAAACGTATTTTCTAGGTGGAGTGTTTCACGCGTTAATTGGGCTTGATCCGCATAGACTAAGGCGAACGCTCATTGTTTGCGAGAAGAACTACCAGGGTATATAGTCATGTTCGCTCCCCATGCTTTTGCACTCCAACATCGGTAGGGACCCAGAGAGCCGCCTTCACTTTTGACATTCTTTAATCTCTTTGTTTTTTCATAAGCATTTTCGTCAACCCTTTTTTTGACAAAATGAACTATGAAAATTTTTTAGTATGTATGGAAGTTTTTATATTTATATATATACACTAGTTCAGACTAAAAAAAAATTTAGTCCAATCCTAGCTTCGTCATCTAATACACTCACAAAATTTTCAAATATTAGGTCAATACACAATTAAAGAAAAATATATAATATAATGGAACTTTAGGCATTCAACATATTTATTTTAGAAAAGTATATCCAAGATGAGACAAGGTTCTCCTTGATCATTTTGCACCCACTAGGGGCTGCTACAGCACCGGTAAACCCACACGACCGTCCGTGCTGGATCCATCGAAGCAATTTTTTATTTTTTGACAATAGATAAACGTTTCAATTTATATTACTGGAATTCATTTTTTTATCAAACTTACTTTGTAGCTCAGTTGGTAAGATGTTTTATTTTTGCGTTGTAGGTCTCGGGTTCGAATCCCTTCCAACCTACTTGTTTGAAAAATATTTTTAGTTCTACTATTTTTACTAAAATTAATGCAATAGGAAAGGGGAATGAGATTTGAACTTGTGACCTTGTGTTAGGTTAAAGAAGGCTTGACCATTATGCCACTTCTAAATATTGCACTAAATTTAGCAAAATAAATATATGTTAGGTTAGAATTGATTTAATGCAATTATAGTTGTAAATATTCGAACCCGTGATCTTTCCTTTGAATTATAAAAACTTGGCCACAATGTCATTTGGTAAACACTATTTATTTTTTAGTAGAATTTTATATGTTTAATATATTTAATAAGATAACCTACATTAATTTATTGCTTTTTTATTTATTTCAATGTTTTTCTTTGACTAATTTATGAAGTGGAAATTTTTGTGAATTTCTGAATTAGAAAAATTGTGAATTAGTTAATTGGTAAATTTAGGGATTTGAAAATTTGTTAATTGGGGAATTTGTGAATTGAAAATTTTGGGAATTTGTTTATTGGGGAATTTAGAAATTTGTGATTTGTGATAAATTGGTGTTGAAAAATTGAAATTGAAACTACAAGTAGCAAGTGCAAGTGTTGAAATGTCATTTTCTATTATGAATCTAATCAAGAGTGACTTGCACAACAAAATGAGGGATGACTGGTTGAATGACAATTTGATAGTGTACATTGAGCAAGAAGTTTTTTTAAAAATTGATAATGAGACAATTTTGCAGTGCTTTCAAAATATGAGACAACAGAGATTCCAATTATCTAAGTGTACAGTTACGAAGTGAAGGTATATTACTTATTTTTCTTTTGGGTTTTATTGGATTATATTTTCATATTATATCATTCCTACGTTTTAGTGTATTTATAAATTAATTGAATAATTTTTAATATTATTTAATTAAAAATTAATAATCAATATCGGTATTTTTGTCGTTGCGGTCAACAATCAATGATCGTCGGCCGTCAGTGCTAAACTTCAGGGCTGGATTCACCCCTGTACGTATGAGAAGATATGTAGCAAGAGACATATTCATTTTCGCTCCATCCACAATATATGTCAAGTACTAAATACGCACTTTTTAACTTGAGATTATCGTTGAATTTATGTAAGATATATTTACAATTAATCCCTCCATACGCCAATGTCTACTTTGTGTTGAGCCCCTGTTCTCGAGCACAATTTCAATCTTGACCTGCGGCCTCATGCTTAGAACAATATCAATTTAACATTTAAAAATTTAGACCATTTGCTAAAAAATTCAAAATAAACATGCTATTTTGGGTCACAGAGTCTCAATTTCACTTTCAAACTATCTTAGTGAAGATTAATATAGTTTACTCATGGAACAATGTTGTTGATCACTATCGAGTGAACCTTTTTTTTATCGATCTTGAATGTTGTTTATCTATTTTATTCTAATTATAGTGAATTTTTTTCTACTTTCATCAAAATTGGTTAAAACGTCATCAAATCATTTATGACAAGTTTTTGTTATTACTTAATTTTCACGTGGGAACATAAAGTGAAACAAATACAAATTTTATTAAAATGACAGTTAACCGTTTAAAAAGGCAGCATGCCATTGGTTTGAAATTGGGTAGGAAAAGTGAGAATGAAAGTAAGAATTCATGTTATGGGATTTTGGTGAATTTTGGTTTGAAAATGGACATTTTAGACATTTTAAATGAAGGGTATTTATGACTTTTAATATATGATAAAATAGAATAAAAATTATTTTATCGACAATATGCTATAGACTATTTTATCAAATATTATTATTGACTATGCTTTTTAAGCAAATTCCCCTTACTAATAATATCTCTCCTTCCACCTACGCTAAATAGTAACTCTCGCTATTAGCAGCCAGCACAAAACTCATTTACAGAGCAAATCCAAATCAAAAGTGAACGGATAAATAAAATCCCCGCCGGACCTATACATACAGGCTCCTGTATGTATATTCGTTTTGAGAGAGAGAAAGAGAGATCTAAGCTTAACAGCTTCAACTTTCTCTCTCCAAATCAGCTCAATTTTGTAGTTTTTACGGGTAATTTTTTTATTTTCTGTTATTTTTTACTTTTAAGAAATCACGGACTGACGTGTGTTTTTTCGTTGTTATTTGAATGTTAATCAATTGCTATTTTATGTTTTTTTTATTTCCTTTTTAGTTATATTCAGCTGTGGTAGATAGTGGAAATTGAGATCGAGATTTGCTGGGGTTTTGTTGTTACGAAATTTAGCTTAAAGCTGTGCAATGTTGAAGAAGATGTATAATGAAAATTTTGGAATTTTGGTTTAGAAGTTAGAAGAAGCTCTTTGCAATATTTCTGGATCTTTTAGGAGCTGAAACCCCATATGATTTTTGGTATTTTTTAAGAATAAGATTGTGCAAAGTTTGAGTTGCAATTTTAAGGAAAGTGGGAGTGGAGGAAAATTCAATGGAAGATTGGTCAAAATATGCAAATAGTCCTGCTCATTTGGCCGTATTGCAGCGTGACTATGCCACATTGAAACGGATTATTGCTGCCCTTCCTATGCTGGCTAAGGTGGGGGACGTGGCTACTGAGGCTGAGTCGTTGGCTGCTGAACAGGATGCTGATGCTGTGTCTGCAGTGATTGACAGACGGGATGTTCCAGGCAGGGAAACTCCTTTGCACCTCGCAGTGCGCCTTTCTGATGCAACTTCAGCTGAGATTTTGATGGCGGCAGGTGCTGATTGGAGCCTTCAGAATGAGAACGGATGGAGTGCTCTCCAAGAGGCAGTTTGTAATAGGGAGGAGAACATCGCTATGATCATTGCCCGGCACTACCAGCCTCTTGCTTTGGCCAAATGGTATCGTAGGCTTCCTAGGATTGTGGCATCAGCATCCAGGATTCGTGACTTTTATATGGAGATAACCTTCCACTTTGAGAGCTCAGTTATACCATTTATTGGGAGAATTGCACCATCAGACACTTATCGAATATGGAAACGGGGTTCTAATCTCCGTGCAGATATGACGCTTGCAGGGTTTGATGGGTTTCGTATTCAACGGTCTGATCAAACGTTTCTCTTCCTTGGAGAGGGGTATTCTTCAGAAGATGGCAATGTACGTTTGGCTCCTGGCTCTTTGATAGTGCTCGCCCATAAGGAGAAAGAAATCACAAATGCTTTAGAGGGAACTGGTGTTCAACCATCGGAAGCTGAAGTTGCTCATGAAGTGGCCTTGATGTCCCAAACTAATATGTATAGACCAGGAATTGACGTTACTCAGGCTGAGCTTGTTCCCCATTTGAATTGGAGAAGACAAGAGAGGACTGAGATGGTTGGAGCTTGGAAGGCCAGAGTTTACGATATGCTTCATGTAATGGTAAGCGTGAAGTCAAGGAGAGTTCCTGGTGCTATGACTGATGAGGAGCTCTTTTCAGGGAATGATGATGATAGAATTGCGAAAGGGGGTGAACATGATGACTATGATGATGTCTTGACTGCTGATGAAAGAATGCAGTTAGATTCTGCTCTTCGCATGGGAAACTCTGATGATCTTGGTGAGGATGAGGAGCCCAAGGTTATTGATTGCCGTGAAAATTTTGATAGGGGTTCATATGAAAGTTGTGAATCCAATGGTGTGACAAAAGAGAAGAAAAGTTGGTTTGGCTGGAATAAAAAAGGTTCAAAGAACTCTGGAGATGATCCTGAGGATTCAAAGATTCTGAAGAAGTTCTCAAAGTTGGCACCTGATGATAGCAAGCAGCGACACAATGACAGCCGCAGATCATCATCTGAGTTTCCTAGGGAAGATACTGGTGACCTTAAAAAGTCCAAAGATAAAAGCAGCAAGAAGAAAAATAAGAAAGGTGCTGCAAGTGAGCCGAAAAGTGATAGTGAGTATAAGAAAGGTCTAAGACCTGTTTTATGGTTGACACACGATTTCCCTTTGAAAACAGAAGAACTATTGCCTTTGCTTGACATACTGGCTAACAAGGTAAAAGCTGTCAGGAGACTGAGGGAGCTTTTGACAACTAAACTTCCTCCTGGAACCTTTCCTGTCAAGGTGCTTATTGCTTCTCCTCTTTGATGCTGCTTGTTATTTTTCTGTTCATCGGTTCATTATGGTATCTATTATTCTGTTCTTAATATGATATTACCGTCTTATGTGCATAAGCTCTCATCTCTATTGCTTTCTTTTATATCTGCAACTGGCCAATTGTTTTGCTTTTGTTGTGTACTTGATAATCTGATGGAGTTGTTTGGTCATCCTGTGGATTTTGATTTAATGTTTTATTTCCATGTCCTTGTTGAGTAGAATTCCATGCAAAGTGCTAACTCCTAAGTCCATGATGTACAAGTCCTAATAACTAATTACAATTAGTTTTACTAACTGATTACTAAAATTTTATGTTCTCTCATCTCAAATTTGAGTTATGACACGTATCTTTTCTTTCCCTACTGTAAAATTCATGTAAAAAATCTTAGAGAATTCTAAAACTTTAGGGGTATTTACACTGGTAGCGCCCTAACGTTATAAATAAATAAACAGTTGAAGGACTTTTGGACAATTTCCATCCAAAAGTCAGTTAATTCAACTATTGACTCAAATGTGACCATTTTTAAGAAGGACAATAGCGACTCTTCACGTTTTCCCACTTAAATGATTAAATAATTAAAAATGAAGAGCAATAAAAAAAAAAAAAGGAAAAAGGAAGATAATTAAAAAAAGGAAAACTATTCAGCTTCCTCATCCCCACCCCCAATCACCGCTGACAACTAAACCCAAATTCAAAACCACCGCTGACAATTACATCCACAAAACTCAAAAAATCACTGCAAACAAAACAGCAGTGACAGCCTCCGATTCGACTACGATCCTTGGCAGTAGTGGTGTAATACTAGTTCAACAAACAGAGAAATAAACCCAAATCTGAGATGGACAATTTCATGATAATCTCATACTTGAAACAGTTCCATAGATATTTAATTTCCTTTGATTTCAACCCGAACAGTAGGGATCTCCATGGTGGGATCTCCCACGGTCTGGTAGATCTCCCTCCTGTTAATACAAAATCAAGGGGGTGAAAACCCCCGAGTTCTGTACTTAAAATCACCTCGAGAAGGCTCATAACTGCTGGAAATTAGTATTAAAAATTGGGTATTTCAGGATGTTGGTTAATCTGCAGAGAAGTGTAAGAAAGGTAAAGGTTGGACACTTGTATAGCTGTGTGGAAGTAGTAGTGTCAAGTGACATTGATACAAGTGGAGATCACTAGAGAATTCATATTTTGTTGCACTTGGGGGTCCTACCCATACTTATAATCAGATTATATCTAGTGCAATAACATCCAATTTCAACACTGACTAAAACTAGAAAACCAAAATCGTAACAATGAATTCCACCTAAAAGCACCTATATCAATTAAACTCATCATAGACCATCATCGTATTCCCAAGGGAGATTGAATAATTATATCATCGAAGTCGTAAAAATCCACACGACGTACATCACATCATCTTATAATAATATAATTAAAATGTTGAACTGAAATTAATTAATAGACACGTGCATAATTATTATAGCTGCTTCAATGTGGATTGAACCTGATTTCTGCAAGAAAATGTCTTGACAGTCTACAATATGGATTTAACCTGATTCCACATATTTGTACCTTTTTGCAATATTAGCATTATGTGTGCTGCATTAGTTCTTCACAGCAAAGAAGGATCTGCTAAAAAATCTTTGGTTGCTTCAGTTATAATTCATGTATACTATCATCTTAATTTCAAAGCAAATCCAAATATATTAAATCCTGTGTCAAGAGTAGGACAAAAAGGGGAAAAAAAAGGTCTCGGGTCAAAATTAAAGACTGCCAATATTTTCAACCAATGGCAATATCTCAAGCAGTCTTGCATTTTGGAGCACGATTCTCTCCTTCATGCGTAAAAATTGATCCATGCCTTCGCAAGTCATCATCTCAACTTCAAATGGGCATGTGAAGTATTTACTTTGCCGGCTCAATTCTCATTGTTTTCTTGTATCTTGTGGTGCTAAACTGACACATGAATGGGGTACTACACAGATTGCCATCCCGATTGTCCCAACTATACGGGTTCTGGTAACATTTACAAAGTTTGAGGAGCTTCAGCCAACAGAGGAGTTCTCGACCCCTCTTTCAAGTCCTGTGTATTTCCAAGATGCAAAGTCAAAGGAGTCAGAGGGTTCTACATCATGGATTTCATGGATGAGAGGAAATGGCGGAGCTCAATCAAGTGATAGTGAAAGTCGCAGCTTTCGAGATGAGATAGACCCTTTCCACATACCATCTGACTATGCATGGGTTGATGCCAATGAGAAAAAACGTAGAATGAAGGCTAAGAAAGCAAAAAGCAAGAAACATAAAAAACACGCTACAGTGAGAAATCAAGATAATGCAAGACAGTTGAGCGAGGATATTGGGGAATAATGGCGATGAAAGATTAAGGTCGGGTGAAGCTCACAGTTGGCAGCATCTGAATCCTCTCAAAGTTAAAGAGGTAAAAGCTTGTCCTTCTATGTCTGACCTTTGTATTTCCTAGTGATATAATAGAAGGCCTGGATGTTCTGGATGGCTTCATTCGTAGTATTTTAAGGATGTTTTATCTTCTTTAATTGTTGTATCCTTGTTATTTGATGTGGGAACTGAAACATGATCAATTTTTCATAGGCCCGTTTCAAATAGGATTGAAATGGCTTAGAAACCATACGCTGTCCCGTTGATTATATGTTTGATATGGTTGATTGAATAGTACTGCACATAAATAAGGAATAAAATAGAAGTTAAAAGTGTTATGGTCATTCGTGCAGCTGTGTGTAGCGAACATGCTCTGCATGTTAAAAACCTGGAAGAAGTTATCGTTGCAGAATAAGATGTGAACCTGAACAGCTGAAACAAAGAAATTTTGGCAAGTTCGTTTGGGGTCTCTTTGAAGTTGGATTTGGGGACAAGATTAGTGATCAGGTTGCTGAAGCTTAACTTGGTGTCCATTTCGGTCTAATATCAAAACTGGTTCATTTTTGAATGTTAATAAACCTTAACAGTGTCAACTAAAGAGGCTTATGTTTATTAGAGTCCTGCAATTTCAGTTGAACATGTTAGAAGAGATAAGAACCTATAACACTTTCATGTTATAGTTGTTGAGATTTAGTTGTTTTAGATTTTATATTGATGTAGCAATTAATAAAATGCAATATTAGAAAAGGACCGGTTTAGTTTGTTGTAGAAAATTGTACATCCAAATGGCAATGCAAGCTCCTTTCGTTTTAATCGAATTGAAGGTTTATTTGCCGGTCATATAATTTCCATTTTGCATAGTATTTTCCCATTTTGCATAGTATTTTCCTTTGAAACCTAAAAGTTAATAAATAAATAATTTATTTAGGACACATTTATCCCATGTTTTGCCCTTGGCTCCATTAAAAATGCATTTTGGGAGAGAATGTATTTTTGAATTGTAATATTTTGGAGAATGTGTAGTTAAAAAATAAGGAATTTTTTTTTTCGTGTAATATTATTTTATTGAAGAATGTGTGGTTGAAAATAACAAAGAAAAAAATGTATTTTTGGAGAATGGATAAAAATCAATTATTTAATAAATTTTGATAAGAATGAATTAAATGTGTGATTGAAAAATAGATAAAAAGAAAAACTATCGATTTCATAAATATGAAATTTAAATTAATAGTTGATTTTAATTTTAATTTTTATCAATTTTTTAAAACAAAATCAAATAGGTGACTTTTGGACCATAAAGCCAGCATAGCCAAATGGGAGTTCAAAGTCTCCATCGGCGCTTGTTACATCTGCTCTGGTAATTATGTTGCTCGTCTTTCTTTTAGCTCCCTTTGTTGGCTTTCCTATTTTAAGCCTATATTGGTACAAGGCCAGGTTTTACCACACGAGTTTCTTCCAAACCGTTGACATGAGAAACACATTTGCCGTTTCATGATAAAAATGAATCATGCTGCTTGTACAACCTTGATAGACAATTTCACACTTGACAACATCAGATTCATTCATGTCAAAAACTGTTTTTTTGAAGAGTTATGCTACAAGTACATCAAGAGATACATAAAAGTGTCCATAATGGACACCCTTATGTACCCCCTAATGTACACTTAGCATTTTCCCTTTTTAAAATCGACGACACAAATTTTGACAACACCAAATTTGTAAACAATGATTGTTAACGAGAGTTGTACAAATAGCTTAATTTGATAAGAATATCAAGCACTGTCAATTAGATAGTTTCACCAATTTTTACAAAATCTTAACAGTGACCTTGGGAATTTACATCGAGAGGGCCCACGTTCTCAATTATACAAGTATCTTCAGCTAGAGTTCGACAGACACATGAACCCTTAAAATTTGAAGTTGATAGACGGCTCGATTGGAGGGCTAGATAAACTCGTCATGTAAACACCTTCTAAAGTGTCAACGTGTCGTGCTGTGCTGAAGCTTTTGACACTGCACACAACTAACCAGGATTCCCTGGTGTCACACTTGCCTTCTTTGACCTCCATAGGCTGCTGTCTCAGCACCTTAACCAGACCTGATGCGATCGAACTACCAAGCCTATGTATTTGCAATAATTTCACCTAGCAACCTCATTATTATTCTCTCTCCCCCAACACTTGTAGATCTGTCCACTTCTGGCCTTTGAGTTATTATTCATGGTGGTTTTGCTATTACATGCAATAGTGTTCAATCTACTGATAACAACAATTCTGCATCTAACCATTGCAATTGAATCCAGTATAGGAAATATTCCAATTTCCAAGAACATTTCAACTTAAAATCTTATGAATTCACAATTGGAAGAGAGGACAAGTTGAATCCAGATAAACTTGCACTATGTCGTCCCTCATAACCTAACACTTTTTGCCTTCAACCTGTAGTCAGATGCAAACTCCCTTAGTAGAAAATAACAGACGAATGAATTCGCCTTGAGCAATTTAGAAAAACTGCACAAGCAATGCATTCCCAGAATTCACTGGAAATCACAAACATAGGAAAACAAAATAGTATTTCAATTCAGAAGTCCAAAGATAAAGATTCATTGGTCTCACAACACTGTCAGAGTTCTGCAAATCGTATTAATTCAAAATGACATAGATTACAAAATTCAGACATACTTGGACAAATCTTAAGCTAATCACTGCCCCTTGGAGAACCGTCATCAATAGGACTCCCATTGTCCCTAGGGCTAATGCTGTGGCTGCGACCATTTTCTTCAACAGGACTTCTCTCATTGGGTCTTTGATCCTGATCTACATCATCCTTTGGGCTCCCGATCCTTCCATTTGGACTTGAGTCATACTCTAACTCATTGGCTTCCCTACCGTCACTCAGGGATGGTGAAACCCTCTCCCTCGAATTTCTCACAGGCATTGGGCTGTGCTTCTTTCCCTTGGATGGGGGTGGTGAGGCACTCCTTGATCTTTCTCCATGCTCGATGCTACGCTCCCTCTTCGGAGGTGACCTGGATCGACTGCAAAGAAAAAGCTCACATGCTGATCCTATGTCTCTTGACCCATGATTCAGGGTTAGCATAATATATGAAGGACTAGACATATTTTAACAACTTCATCGAAACCAAAGCCCATTTAGCTAGGAAATTTGAAAAGGGACGGAAATATAAGAGTAATATTGTTCCAGCTAAGAGATAAATATAAAAAGATATTTAAGAAAGGGGCAATGGAGGAAGGTGTGAACCTATGGCTAGGACTCCGGCTATAGCTACGGCGTCGGCTTCTGCCATGATGAGGAGAAGGTGAGCGGGAGTAACTCCGTCTACGTCTGTGCCACAAAACTTTTTGTTACATAAAGAATATTGAAATTCTTGCAACAAAGATACTAAAGAAGACCACAAGGTCATCTAGACCGTACCCAATTTTCTTGGGACTATTTTGACAGTTTTTTTCTATATGACCCCGCTCTCCACAGCGATAACACTTGTTCTTCCAGTCTCCCGCCTTGCAGTCTCGAGCCCAGTGTCCTTCATTTCCGCAGTTGAAGCAGCGTCCTGTTCCTGGTGTAGGGCCTCTGCCAAGATATTCACGCGAGCTGCCTGGACCACGTGGAACCTAAATTACAAGTCAAAACCCCGTTCAGTGTATGCACCACACAGATTTCATCCCGTCAAAACACGGGAGAACAAAAATTTTTTTTATCAAGATGAAATTTCCACAACCATGTCCAAATGAATATTGCACAAGAAACACAGCAGCTTATTTAAAAAACTAAATAATTACAGTGCCACATATGTACAATGTTGTATAACTTGCCAATAACCCTTGAATAAAATTTGACTTCTAGTATAAACTTCTCATGTTTTTCATAAATCAAGTATGCTATGAAATAGGCACGTCATTCGACATCAAACGCACGAATATGTATACATGATAAAATTCATATATGAAACTATGTCCATGATCAAGTGAGAAAAGGCATAAACCCTGAAACTTACACCCTTCGCATGTTCAACTATAATGCGACTCCCATCAACTTCCCGTCCATTTAAGCCATACCGTGCATCATCAGCATCTCGAGGATCACTAAATTCCTATGATCAGGATAAGACCAAAAGAGGAAGGGAAGATTGCATCCACAAATACATAAAACAAACATGAGATTAAATTGTTGCAATGCAATGTAAACAAATAAAGAGCAGAAATGTGTACCACAAATGCATAGTCACGCTTCATATCTACATCACGTACTCTGCGTACACGGATGCCAGAAATAATAAGGCCATCAAACAATAGAACCAAATGGTTGATACTTCGTCATCTCAAAGATTAACTAAACACCAGTTTTTGGTTGTTGGGCATTTCCACAAAAAACACACAATAACACTATCAAAAGAATTGCCAAAGTCACCTAGACACTCTGCATGAATATCAACCACCAAGAACACCTTTCACCAGGTTGGCTAAAAATCCCAGAGTAGAATTTGGGTGTGACCCGAATTCCTTGTTGAAATAACTTAAGAGTTCTAATTGAAGTTAACGTCAAGAAGAATACAGTTTGGAATGCTATTGGAGTCCTATGTCAAGTTGAAGTTCTATTCTGGAAGTCCATTGAGAGTTGGAATTTGTTTTGGACTCGATTTTTTTGTATCCTACTTCATCAACAACTCTACTAGGAGTGTTTGGAGTCTTTGAACGTACCCTACATATTCCCCATAAATATTCGGATCTTCTATACAATTTTATAGTATGAGAAAATAGATTACTAGAATTATATGATCCATTGTAATTTTCTATCTTCTCCATTATTCTTGAATCAATAAAATCTCTTAATTCTTTGTCATATTTCTTGTCTTTATTATTGTTTTAATTGATCTAATATTTCATTATTTGCCATATAATTTCAACAATTCATTCATATGGTTGGTTTCATCAAGTAGTATTCAAACAATACATAATTCTTATATTTCCAACATTACTAACAGCGATCCGGGCATATTAATATTTCTTTTAACAAGAGATATTTTGGTTGTTTCATAACAAGCGGTATCAGAGCGCCATGTTCAACATTTTCGCAACAGCGTAGAGTTTGATTTATTCGAGGTTTTTTATTCATGATGGCTTTCATGAAGTATGACATTCCGCTTTTGAATCAGAGCACTAGATTTTCGCTATGGCAGGTTAAGATGCGTGCAATACTCGCACATCTAGATTTGGATGATGCGTTGCCAGGAATTAACAAAATGCCCGCAACTTTGAACGTCAAAGAGAAATTACGGAATGATAAGAAGACAATTTCTCACATTTATCTTCATCTATTGAATACCATTCTTCGCGATGTTTTGAAGAAGGGTTCAACAGCTGTTTTATGGTTGAAGTTGGAGCAATTGTACAAGGCCAAAAGTCTGACAAGCAAGTTGCATCTCAAGCAGCTTTTTACTCTCATCGAATGACAGAAAGAGGATTATTGGAAAATCACTTGGCTGTATTAAAAGAGATCGTCGCTGATTTGAAAACTTTGGAAGTAAAATAAGATGATAAAGTTTTGGCATTAATCATATTGTGTTCGTTGTCCACTTTGTTTTCTTCATTTAAAGACACGATCTTGTACAGTCGTGATACTCTCACTATAAAGGAGGTGCATGATACTTTATTTTCAAAAAAGAAGATGAATAATCTGATTTTAGAGGTAAAAGATGAAGAAGGCCTTGTTGCTTATGATGGTTCTCGAAGGGACAGATCGAAATCTAAGTTCAGTAATCAGATTTGTAACTACTGCAAGAAGAAGTGGCACGTAAAAAAAGGATTGCTACAAATTATAGAATAAAGAAAGGTTGGCTGCAAGTCGATATAAGAAGCAATCAGAGACTTCAGGTGAAGCAGACCTCGCAGAGAACATTGTAAGTGAGGGAGATATGTTGGCTATTTCTGACATCGAGTCTAAATAAGAGGATGATTGGATTCTGGATTCAGCGTGTGTGTTTCATATGTGTCATAATAAGGACTTTTTTACTACATATGAAACCATTTCCAAATGTGTCGTGGATATAGGAGACCACTCTTTGTCAGGTTGCTGGAATTTGTACAGTTAAATTGAAGCTATTGGATGTGATAATTAGAACACTTGGCCATGTTCGACATGTTCCGGACTTGAAAAAGAATCTCTCGTTGTCTATCCTTGATTTAAAGGATTATGAGTTCTTTGGTGCATGTGGAGTTTTTAAGGTTTGTAAAGGTGCACAGGTTGTATTGGAGGGACAGAAAATGTCTCAGTTATACATCTTGCAGGATCATGCAGAATTTAGAAGAGTCAATCAACACGGGTTCAGTACCGTTGTGAACATTCAGTTTGGCACAATACTTTTTAGGAGCTCGTAAATGGTCGGATTTGAAGAATACTGCTCAGTGGAGTTCAGGAGATATGGATAATGCTAATTTGCCACAATCATCTGCAGTGTCATTGTATTCAATTGCTAGGGAAGGACCTAGTGGAAAAGGGTATGTGGATGCTGATTTTATTGAGCATGCTTTAAGTGGAGTAAAATGTGTTCAATCTAGCAAGGGGTCCTTAGTAAAAGCATTTAGTATTGATTCTGCCTTGTGGTGTGTTACATCCTATTTTGGTAAATTATAAAATCATTATGATTTTTTTGGGAATTTGAGATAATTCTGCATAGTAGTGTTTGGATTCATTGGAAGAGGTGAAGTATTTTGTATTTGGTTGGAGAAATCAGTTTTGATTATTGTTGAAAAGTCAGTTCATTCCTTGCAGACATATTTTCTTCTCCACGTGGAGAAAATTTTGGAGCTTGGTTCGTTGTCTGGAATTCGTGTCAAGGTAGAGATTGTTAGAATTTAGGTGTGACCCAAATTCCTTGTTGAAATAATTGAAGAATTTTAATTGAAGTGCACGTCAAAAAGAATTTTTTTGGAATGCTATTGGAGGTCAAGTTGAAGTTCTATTTTGGAAGCCTATTGAGAGTTATAATTTGTTTTGGACTCAATTTTTTGGTATCATACTTCATCAACAACTCTACTATGAGGGTTTGGACGTCCCTTAGGCTCTTCTATACAATTTTATAGTGTGAGAAAATAGATTACTAGAATTTTCTCTCCTCTCTATTATTCTTGAATCAATAAAATTCCTTAATTCTTCTGTCATATTTCTTATCTTTATTATTCTTTTACTTGATTTAATATTTCATTATTTGCCACATAACTTCAACAATTCATTCCGGTGGTTAGTTTCATCAAGTGGTAATCAAACAATACATAATTCTTGTATTTTCAACATTGCTAACAGCGATTCGGGCATATTAATATTTCTTCTAATATGAAATATTTTGATTGTTTCATAGTAGAGACCTTCAGAAAGATCATGTTAAAATTATTTAGACACGAGGACATTTTTCTTTGATTTTGAACATAGAAGTTAAAATTATTAATGTCAGAATAAAGGTTGTTATAATGGCACTTATTTCCAAACACCACCTTGATGTAGGCCCATCCGAGGACAGAGACCACAACCAACTAGACAAGGACTAAAGATAGCAAAGAGTTGCATCTAAATCAAAAACCAAGAACTCACATATACGACACAGAGTACTTGCAGTAAAGCACAGTTGCAACCTCGTTCAGCACAAACAAAAATTATCAAATAAGTAAGTCTACGCTTAATTACCTCCCATATCTGCGAAAGATGTCCTCTAGATCACGAGATCGGGTCCTTGAAGATAAATGGCCAACATAGAGACGTGTTGTGTCACCATAGCGGTCATCATGACGAGGCATTTTCACTTATTATTCTCTGAAACAGACAAGAAAAAAGTCCAGTTTCATCTAACACCTGCCAAATGCATGCATTGAAGAGAAATCAAAGCATGAGTGTAGTGCATTTAAATACATGACTTCCTATGTGAAGAAAGGGGCAAAACGTATTTTCCAAAGCCCCAGCCTGTGAACAAACAATTATGCAAATTAAGCTCTAACATTCCAAACTTAGGCCCCGTTCGGTAGGGATTAAAATCCAATTAAAATTGAAAATATGACCGTTATTGGGTATCACTCGTCTAATAAAAGTCAACAATAACAGCTATTTTTTCAATTTTAATCTGATTTTAATCCCTACCGAACGGGCTTAATAAACGTTGCAATTTAGTATAAAATTATTCCACTAAAATCACGGAAATGAATCCCAAAGTGCATAAATCCATCAGCTTCCCCTTATTATTAACCGCGTATCAGAGATACAATACTCCATATTTATGAATTAAGCTAAAAGTGGAAAATGAATGAAAATTAAAAGCAAGTTTATGCACTCGACGGGATTTTCTGATATAGAATTATGGTATTAACCCTCTTTTGATACTCAATTGAGCTGAATTCTCAAGAACTGGAATAAATTAATGCAAAAGCACAAAAAATTGGAAAATCTGTATGCATGTGAAAACCTAGACCTACAGGCAAATCTTTCGAGACGATAAAACGAAGAATCGAGTAATATAAGATCAAATTGACTGGTGAAATTGAGAGAGAGCCGTACCTGATCCGGTGTAACAACCCTAGACTGACTTTTGGGTCACATGCAGAAGAGGTGAGAAATGAGTATTTTTTTTATTATTTACTGAGATATTAATGGGCTTCCAGCGTCTTGAATATTGGGCTGAAATAGAAAGCCCATTATGAGTATTGTTGGCTTTTGTTTTGCAAAAATTACAAGTGGGCCTTGTAATGAAAAATCTGTTGAGAAAATTACCATAAACAAGGTGTTTAGTTTTGACTTTTAAAAAATCAGGTTTTTAGTTTATTTAATCAAAAATCAGGTTTTAATTTTACAATTAATATTAATAATA